CCACTACCCCCTACTCCCCTGCCCCCTTCCCTACCGCTCTTTCTTGCTTACACCTACTCCCTGACCCCTACCCTCCTACTTACTTCCACTACCCCTTCTCTTCTGCCCCTTTCCCCTACCCTCTTTCCTTCTTACCCCTTCTCCGTGACCCCTACCCTCAAACTAACTTCACCAACCCCTTACTCTTCTGCCCCCTTCCCCTACTCCTGCTTCCTCCTTACCCCTTCTCCCTACCCGGCTCCAACCTTCTCCCTTCTCCCTCGTTGCCCCTCAACATATCTCACGAAGTACTTAGCTTAGGATGACTTGGCCATTATTTTACACAAACCGTGATACCCTTTATTATTTTTTGTATAGGAAACGTCAAATGGATAAAGAAAGCATGTTCAAGACATGGCTGTTGAATTACACAGACCTGACACCGTGTTACGATGAACAGGATGAGGTGGGGGGACAAAAATCCCACATACATATAAACCAGGTAAGTGTGTTTTCTGATTAGTAATAATGTACATATCTTATAAAGCAGTTGTCTAAAAGGTGGCCTTAACCAATACAGAATAGTACATAGTCATCCAATAATTACAAAAAGAGATAAATTGAATTCGATAAGCCAAGCATGCGCAATGGCGCAACGAGAGTAACATGGAAAGTTAACATAGAGGGGCGAACACACGCGTTTTGGCGCGAAAATTTCAACAAAATTCAAAGGTAGCCCAACAAAATAGAAAAGGAAGAAATAATTTACGATCAACAAGTCCGGAAAAAGTCGTTGACCGAAGGTAGCCTACATTTGTTTTCTGATTTTTTCTTTACAGTTCTCGACATCGCAAACGCCTACTTTATTGTTACGAGACAGCGATAAGATCTCTACTGGGCACCCTCTACAACCCATCTTCACCGCTGCACTTTACCAGGTTTAATTTATTCGTAATGTGTATTTTGTTATCCAGGACATAGTTAATGGACTCCATTAACTATGTCCAGGATTTCTCGTACGGGGAATCACACTACCTTTTCATTTCCTCCACAAACCCCACCTCTCCCCTCAAAATACATGTAAAACTATTTTCAAAAACCCTGTATATTGTATAGTATATATTGCAAAAACAGTCACGACATGGTCACGGCACTTAGTCTAAGTACGCTAAGCGAATCACATTGCGCGAGAAAAAAATCAGCCAATCAAAAGTCTAGAAAACATCACGGTCGTACGGCACCGAGCTTTTCACACGGTTATACGAAGACTGCTCTTCATTTGGCTTTCATATACATTCAACGAGAATCATTCTCGATTTAACTAATATTGCGTATTTATTTCTCAATTATTTTTAATTAGGGTAAAAAGGTTTATGTCAAACGTCTCCACCATGATGTGCTCAATATAACACGACTAATAAAAAACGAAATTAGACAGGTAAATTAGAACAGTCGTATAGTAAAAAATGCAATATATTTAACTCCGATCACCCAAAACAAATTTGCTTATCGTATGCCCACCTACCTGCCTATTAATGATTAGGGCGGTGATCTGTTAAAGTCGTGAGTTGCATTTTGAAAAAAAAAAACATAAGGAAATCTACAAGCAACAACAATATTGCGCTATGTCTAACTAGCTGTTGCATATTGTAAGTAAAGTGAACTGAAATTATTGCCTGTTTTATAATTTTAATTCCAAGGCATGTGAGCTGCGTCATGTTAACATCAACCCTTACCTCGGTGTATGCGTTGAACCACTAGACCTCTGTATAGTATCTGAATATTGTACCAAGGGACGTTTAAAGGTAAGTCATTACTGTACCTATGTAGATCTTTCTGTACCTGGACACTGTACCAAGGGACGTTTAAAGGTAAGTCATTACTGTACCTATGAAGACCTTTCTGTACCTGGATACTGCGTACCAAGGGACGGACGTTTACAGTCAAGTCAATCGTACCTAACAGACCTCTAAAAAGATCATTTTAGTTAGACCGCGAGTTGTATCCACAAGTTTCTTCTCATGCGCAACCGTTAAACGCTGGGGAATGACACGTAGTCTTAAATGTGAAAACAATATACACAAGCTTTTTAGAGCGCATGCAGTAAAACCATGAAATAAAAACAAAGTTGATACTGACAAATAGTAGCTATTTAGTGAGTAATAGTTGCTATCACTCGACCAGAACCACTCAACCAGTCACTAAATAGCTACTATTTGTCAGTATCAACTTTGTTTTTATTTCATGGTTTTATTGCTCTAAAGACTTAAAAGATTCTCTACATAACTGTCCCATGCCGCTCATTGTCAGTTGTCTATTGATGTGCTCGCGAATATTTTTTTAAACAACGTCTATTTTTAGGATATACTTCTTGATGAGTACCTTAAATTAGACTGGAATTTCAAGATGTCCTTTTCCACCGACATTGCACGGGTAGGTCCAGTATCTCAATCTAGGTAGATTGAACAACAAATGTAGGCATCGTATCGTTCGTGCGCATCCGTAGTGCGCATGAGTTTGTGCGCGTGCCCTCATCGTGATCACGTCATTTGAATGTTTCGATGGGCAATATTTTAGGAAAGCATTTTTTTTGTTTTTTCAAAGTCACAAACTCTGTCAGATAATTAGAAAAACATCAATCTGGTTTTTGTTATGTGTTATAAGTGTAGACAGTTAAAGATATAGTTTTGAAACCTGATTTATTTTCTTTAAATTCGTTTAAAAATCCTTTTACTAAGAATAGTGACACATAATTCCTTTCGTGATTCAAGATTCTTTGTCCTCACAGGGAATGGAGGAACTCCACAAAAGTAATATTGGTTACCATGGCAATCTTAAATCCACCAACATAGTAGTTGATGGTTATTGGATCTGTAAGATAGCGGACTTTGGACTACGAGCTTTCAAATCAGGAAACCGTGGCACTTTGGTAAAAGAAGATACTTTGTTCAGTGGTCAGTATTAATGGCAGGGACGGAGTTATAGAAGGACAATTTACAGAGGTCCTCGGTGTTCTCCGGCATTTTATTCAGCGGGTTGACGCAGGAAGCGAGAATCAAAGCAGTCCCAGAACCACTTGGGGGGGGGGGGACCAAAGCAGTTCTAGTCTTCCTAACCTTTCTGAGGGTTTCTGCCATTGCTCCGCCATAAGTCGCTCCTCACCCATCCCCCCCTCTGTTGGGCAATCGATCTACTTATAAGACCCACCACTGTCTACCAAAGTCTTGGGGATGGTAGGGAGTTATATAATTTACAATGAAATGTCTTGAATAAGGCAAGTCATTTCAAGATTTTGTTATTTTAGCTATGGTCAGGCTTTGGGGATCTCAGTTGCACATTCTTAACCAACCAGCTTATTTGGGACCCTCCTGTGACCAAAGCACTTACTCCCTCTCTTCTCTCCGCGGGATTAAAGTATGTCTGTCCAATATGATTGTGCTTGATTTGATTTCAGATATGTTGTGGACCGCACCTGAACAGCTGCGCAATACAGTTGACACAGGACACGCACAGAGTGGCGACGTATATAGCTATGGAATAATCCTACAAGAGATTGTGTTACGAGAGAAACCGTATTCCACGTCTCTCCTTGGACCAAAAGGTAGATTTATTGTTCTTTGGATCCTTAAAAAAATCAATTGGTAGAATGTTTTAGTGTAACGGGAAGACCATACTCAAAAAATCTTCTTGTATGCGAGGTCAGCCCGGGACTCGAACCCGCGTCCAGTCAAGCAGTATGACCGGAGTCTTAGATAAGATAGGCCGATGAAGATAATGTCTGATGACGACGACGATGGTGTGATGATGATAATCGGTAATGACATCTGGTAATTGTGGTGACGTTTTCCCATGAAAGCGACGATGGGAAGTACGGGTGGCGTAGCTATATAATGGGACCGCTAGCCTCGCTGGGCTCTCGGTGTCACATGTGAGCAGAGTTGCTTGTTGGTTCTCTCCTGTGCTTCGAGAGTTTTTTTTTTCTCCGGGTTATCCGATTTTCCTACCTCCAAAAAAATCAATTCGATCATGGGACGAGGGCCACAGGTTTGTTAGACGCAACTGATGATGATATTTGGTGATGGTGGCCACAGTTGTGATGAGGAAGATAAGATTATTTATTTTTGTTTTATTTCTTTTCAGAAATCATCCATCATGTCAAAAAAGGACTAAAACCACACTGTCGACCCAACATTCCTCCAGATAGTGCACCGGGGACATTTAGGGAACTTATGACGATGTGCTGGGATGAGACCCCTGAAAGAAGACCAACATTCTCAGGGGTCTTAAAAATCCTCAAAAAAATCAACAAAGGAAAGTGAGTATTAATAGGCGTACTGGGTTCCAAGTCTTCGTTACCGGGAGGAGCTGTAGCGAGATAATAGAAATGTTGCATTGCTATGTCATGCTATTTCATAAACACGATGCCCGCGCACCCCTGTAGGCAAAACGAGTGACGAATTGTTTTAATATAGAGCGTTTTCACTCACGTGAGAAGGCAGCCATAAACAATAGAAACTTTCTGCACAGTATTTGCATAAAAAATAGAGTTCAATTCCCGAAGGATAGAAAATGTATTGTTTTGTTACCCCATAATGGCCGCTGTGACGTCACGTGAAAACGCTCTATGTGGAAGGCTGCTAATTATCACTTCTAACAAATGTGTAAATTTCAGGGAAAATGCAATTAAATAGACCTTCAAACTCAATGGCTATAGAAAATATTAGTGCTCGACATGCGCGCGCATACCTCTAGGCAAAGGGATCCGTAAAAATGTGAAAGTTGGCAACTGGTCTTTAGATGGTGCTTTGATGCAAAACTCCAGTTTCAAATTGTAATATTCTCGATTTTATACAGATGGATATTCACTAGTTCCAGGAAAGTTCGTTGGACATTAAAATGAGTCTAACCAGTGGCGGATCCAGAGCGATTTCAAGGGGGTGGCAGATACCTAGAAAAACATCTGTTATTTTTCAACTCCAAAGGCGTGTGGCTTGCCATCTAATCCACCCCCTTGGACCCGCCCTTACTTAAAAATGAGCGGTATTTTATGTATTCGAAAAATATATGTTGGTCTTTTAAATGATGATAAGTTTGGCTTCCACAGAGCGACAAACATAGTAGACAATATGCTATCAATGATGGAGAAATACACCAATAATCTAGAGTCTCTCGTCAAGGAACGAACGCGGCAGCTAGAGACTGAAAAGGCCAAGACTGATGAATTGCTTTACAAAATGATGCCTAGGTATGACGTCATCTCATTAATATCGTGTTTGCCTTATGTGTGATGTTTAGTATCTATTTAAAAATCAGCGAGGCGTTCCTCTATCATTTGAAAGTTCACGCGCGAGCAGAAAGGATGCACAGAAACAATGCCTATTATCGTTCTCTTTATCTGGATTATTAAACGTTTATAAGGCACAATACTGAGGACAGCATAGTATCTCGTAGCAAAGTGTCGTAGTATGTTGCTCGTATTAACACTATGAGCGCGCAATAATTTTCTTTTTTTCTACATGCTCTCTATTTTATTGTAACGCGTTATAAATGACGTATTCACGTGCATTTGATCATATACACATGCTAATTTGCGCGTTATAAGTAACAAAATTATTATATTGACCGTTTGACAGGAGTGTCGCTGACCAGCTCAAGACCGGCTTACAGATGAAGGCTGAGAGTTACGAACACGTGACAGTTTTCTTTAGTGAGATATTAGGATTTGCAGAAATAGCGGAACAAAGCTCACCGATAGAGGTAATAACCTTTTTCACTGTTACTAAAAATAGATATCGCAAAGTCTTGTGGGATCAAAATGCGGACAAACATTGGAAATAAAGGCTTCGATTACATGGAAAAGGAGAAGAATATCATTCAAAACCATGAATTAGAAACAACGAGACTACAAAACATTGTTGCAGTATGTTATATATTAGCATGTGCGCTTAGCTTGGCTTGTCCGCATTTCAATCCCATGATGCACGATAGTGACGTCATCCGTGGAAACGCTATCATTATGCGATTCATATAAAACAACTAAAATATATATCAATAGGCCCTTTGCAGCTAAACAATCACCTGCTGACTAATTCACTGAGAGCAAATGAATGAAAATCTTGATTCCCATGGGTGACATTTACTGTAGAGCAAACAAACTTTCTACAACATGTTTCGAGAGATCGTAATAAAACTGCATTTCGTAACACACTAGATACACATCTTTTCATTCATTTCTTTATAAAAACATAAATTTTGCCCTCCAGTACAGACACGTGACCATTACCTGCAAAGGGCCTATTTCCATACATCGGTTCACTGGTCGAGCAGAAAACATTTAATCGAGCCTGCAAGGTAATTAATTTTAAAGGATTAATCAAATTTAACCTTGAAGCCCCTTGATATAATACTTCATATTTTATTTGACTAGTGAGCCTATGTATGGAATGTGGAGAATAGTCCCTTTCACAGTTCCCTATGCCATCTTGAAAGGTAGCCGTGCCCTTGCATCGAAACGAGAAGAACTGGAACGTTGAGCTTGCAATGATAGACACATGTGATTAGTTGTCCAAGGTGTTAAAAAAGGTCTCCATCATTGCAAGCTCACCGTTCGTCTCGCTTCGATGCAAAGGCAGGCTAATTTTAAAGATGGAGCTGTGGAACTGTAAAAGGGACTCATTGACTCGAATACGGGGAAAAAGAACATTTGTATTCAAGATTGTCCTTGGCGTCTATCAGACTCAGGTCTGAAAAAATGGGTTAACTTTCATCGTATTTTTATTTGCAGCTGATAAACCTTCTAAACGATCTGTATTCATTGTACGACACAGTTATTTCTCGTTATCATGTCTTTAAGGTAAAATGCAATAAATATTGCATCTGATAAAGGGCTTAGAAGCTAATTAAGGAGAAAGCTGTAGTTGGTCGTACTTCATACCAATCCATTTATGCATATATTATATTCTTGGAGTGCTACCACAATACTCAAAATCCCTTGAGATATGAATAACAATGAAACAGCCGCTTGGTTGATCTAACAAGAAGCTAATGAGGAATGTTTTATTATCATCCACAAAAATGGCGGCCATGCCATACTTGTGACATGCATGGAATGCGCGTGGTGCGTGGGAGCGTGGGTCTCATGAGAATGGGGAGTGGCTTATTTAGGGACAGAGCGGTGTGACAGAGCAAGAGAAAACGGGATTGGAGCTCAGAGTTGTACGGCTGCTGAAAAATGTTGTTGCTTAGGGAAAAGAGGCAATACAATCAAGCTGAAAAGCCTGAAGCTGGTCATGACTGATTAATATTTGGAGAAATAAAGAACAGTTAGCTACATACGTAACGTAACTCCAAGAATACTATTGATGGTTTTCAACCATTCCCAAGAGAATTAAAGAACAAAAGACACGGCGGCCATGTTGAAGGATATAGCAAAAGAATTCGTGACAATTCTTTTGTTAAGTTCCTCCAACATGGCCGCCGTGAAAACCATCAATATTCAAGTCTAAATGTTACTTCACAGGTAGAAACAATGTGTGATTCCTATCTCGTGGTGTCAGGATTACCTGAAAGGAATGGCAAAAGACACGCGGCTGAGATAGCATCCATGGCCCTACACCTTTTATTTTATTTCAAAGATTTCAAAATACAGCACTTAACTGATCAGAGTTTAGAATTCAAAATGGGGATTCATACAGGTATGTAAGCCATGCATGTGGGAAGCTATTACGAGTCAATAACCCCTGAGCCAGAGGGCGCCTAACGGCTTGTTGACTCGTAGACCATGGTGTGAGAGGTCTAATTGTTTGGAAATTAGGTTGAAATGATTTTTTTTTTTTTTTTTTTTTGTTGCGTTGTTTCGGTTTTTAAACCCGGCATTTTTTGATTCTAGTATTCTATCAATAATAGAAGCTCAACCAATCAGAGCGCAGAATTTTTGATAGAATATAGAGGTTTTGCATCATCACGTGTAGGCGCCCATAATACAGCTTGGACTGCCTGTGCCTAGATAGCAGAACAACAAAATCCCTTTGCTCTTGGGAATTGAATTATCTAACATGGCTGCCGTCACGTGATGGTGCAAAACCTCTATTAATAGGTTTAGAATCGTTCTTGTTTAGCACTTGATAGTTAGTGGTTAACAAACCTGTGGTTCTCGTTCCACGATCAAATTTAAGATTAAAGTCTAATTTTCAGGAGCGAGAAAACGGGAGAATCCAGTGCTTTACGAGCTCTTCAAGATCTAAATGCCTTTTTCTCCCTTCCAATCAGGTCCATGCGTAGCTGGCATTGTTGGTCTCAAAACACCACGGTATGACATCTTCGGCGAGACAGTCAACGTTGCTAAGCAACTAGAAGCAACTGGATTACGTAAGATTATTAGCCATCCCGAGGTTGAGGGAAAGAATTGGTCGAGCTGCATTGCAGTGCATTGTGGGACTGTTTTAAGGGGCATGTTCCAAGATGGCGTCTATTTTTCCCTAAAACAGTCCCACAAAGTGGGATATAGAAATTAATATCTAAATAAGATATTTGACCATGTCACCTTTGACATCTTGCCCATATGACCTTTGACCTACTTTCTTTATCTTTTCCCTGACCATTGTTGTCCTATTGTTGGATGCTCTATTTTTTTACAGCGCAACACATTCACATGAGCGAAAAGTGCAAGTCGTTTCTTGAAGAGATTGGAGGCTTTACTTACGAAGCAAGGCATAACATTCTCGTGAAGGTACAAAGTGGTTTAGGTTAACAACTAGGTTATGTTATCAAATACTTCCATATTGAAGCTTTGTACCATCACGTGACGGCAGCCATGTTAAATGCCAGAAACGATACAATCGTTTTACATAAAGAATTAAATTTCCGAAAGCAAAGACATTTCATTGTTTTGCCATCTCACCACAGGCAATCCAATCTGTATTATGGGCGCCGACACGTGATGGTGCAAATCCTCTAAAGGCTGTTGCGAGTTTTTAATTTTTATCTGATTAGCAAAAATGTTCTTCTTTCTTCAGGGTCTAGGTGAGACGACGACGTACGTTTTGTCAGGGAAAAGCTTAAAGTGAAAGAAAATTGTGAAGAGCCGTGACTAGCGCTACCTAAAGGTACCTCAGAGTCATCACGCAACGCGATGATTATATATATATTTGCAATGTGCAACAAAGAGTAGAAAATATCTCGTCACGCAAGACCTTTGCGAACCAATTTTTTAAGAAAATGGTAGGCAATAAGGACTAAAGCGTGACACAACCCAGGGCTCATAACAGAATGCTGAAGTGAACAAAAGATCATAAAACCACAGATGTTCCACGCAAGTAGTATGAAGCGTTATGGAGTAACGCAAGAAATGTGACACATATTTGTGACAAGCAGTTTGAAGCGCCATGGAGTAACGCAAAAATTGTGATACGAAACACAGTAGCCTAGGTTCCAGATGCTATCTCGCTCCAGTGCTTCTCGGTCATCGGTTTTGTGAAGCGTCATGAAATAACGCAAGAATTGCGTCACATATCTATGACAACTAGTATGAAGCGCCATGGAGTAACGCGAGAAATGTGACACATATTTGTGTGAAGTAGTTTGAAGCGCATGGAGTAACGCTAGAAATGTGAAGCGCCATGGAGTAACGCTAGAAAATGTGAGGCGCCATGGAGTAACGCGAGAAATGTGAAACGCCATGGAGTGACGCAAGAAATGTGACCCACATGTGTGACAAGTCATATGAAGTACTTTGAAGTAACGCAAGACATATTTGTGACAAGTAATATGTAGTTGTCACGATGGTAACGCACGAATTGCACCAGCTCTCGTTTACGAGCGGTTTTGAATTCTCTTGAAAGCAGAAAGAGCCTCACATGTAAACCTGATATTGGTGTTTTGGTAACATGAATGAATTGAAACAGAGAACAGAATATAAAAAAACGTGTTGTTATATACCAACTGTCAAGGTCCATTTTTCTCATACTCTGATTGGGCGAGAGGGTGTCACTTCACGTGAACAAGTTTTGATGTTTCCCCGGCAACGCCTCTCAGCGGGCAACAATATGTCGTTGACCGGAAATAGCAATACCGGAAGTGATTTCCCCGGAAATGTAAGTTTTTCAAAATCACATAATCAACAAATTAAGTAATTGCTGCGTATTATTTGACAGTTTGTATATAACAAAACACTTATTGACTGGAACTTCGGGAAATAGCAGTGTGTTTTGTCGATCGGTCTCAGTCAATAAGTGTTAATTGGTTGTGTAGTTTTGTATATACATATACACCTATTTCGAAAATCGTTGTCGCACCAAGAGCCTCAGGTAACAAGCCAAGGCTCCAGAGAAAGTCGGTACTTTTAATTGTAATTGATTTATTCATAGTTCATGCAAGTGGCTATACCTCTCGCACTAATTATCATCTCAAGCAGCCTTGCTTGGAGCAATTTGTGAAGTCAATAAATGAAAATGCACCATGAATAAACTAATTACAGCCAAAAGTACTGGCGTTCTCTGCGGTCTTGGCTTGTTGCTTGAGGCTTTTGGTGTATATGGAGCATCCCTTCTCAGTACCGTTTTTCTCCATATTAAAATACCGGGAAAATGGTCTAAGAATCGTATTAAGTCCTTTGCAGCTCAGTAATCACGTGCTGATTAATTCATTTAGAACAAATGAATGAACATCTTGATTCCCATGGGTGAAATATTGAGCAAACAAAATTTCTACAACCTGTTTCGAGAGATCGTAATAAAACTGCATTTCGTGACACACTGGTTACACATTGTTTCATTAAGTTCTTTACAAGTAGCTAAAAAGAATCACCAATTTAAAATAAAATAAAAAAAATTTGATCACCAGTACAGACACGTGACCGTGAACTGCAAAGGGCCTATTGCTAACGTTTCTTCAATTGCGCGTTACGTCATCGCAACACACGGATCGCAATTCGTTTCATTCAGTTCTTTACAAGTAGCTAAAAAGAATCACCAATTTAAAATAAAATAAAAAAAATTTGATCACCAGTACAGACACGTGACTGTGAACTGCAAAGGGCCTATTGCTAACGTTTCTTCAATTGCACGTTACGTCATCACCAAGGGCACTAGGACACCGAACGTGGTTGGATTTCTATAGGTTTTTTTTTCTTTCGATTATTTGAATTAAATTAATGTTATACTTGTTTACTTATCTTGTGTTCGTGTTCCTTCGCTGTTATGATGCAGACGTTTTCTTCCAAAGGTCAAATGGTTTGAATAACCGTTCGTACTGTACTCTGCTTGTACCAACAACAACGCGACCGCGCGATGCTCCTTACGTCAGTAATATTCAACCGTCCTAGAGTTGATATGGTTAATCAAATTCACCTTAAGTTCCATATAGAGCTCCCGGCGAAGGAACATGGACACAAGATAAGTAAACAAGTATAAGGTTAATTTAATTCAAATAATCGAAAGGAAAAAAACTATATAGAAATCCAGCCATATTCGGTGTCCTAGTGCCCTTAGCCGGCATGTCTTTGTCTCGAGACCCTCTAAGGAATGCTTGCAGCCCATCAATATCTCTGTGAATAGCCTGTCTTCTTTGTCGAAAAACAGGCATTGGACCGTAAGTAAAGGAGCCTTTCTTCAAACATCTGCTTAAAAATTCAGACTGACTCGTTTTACATCTTTCGTTGGTTATAAACTCAAAATCGGTAACAACCTCTAATGGATGTGCTTTCTCTACGTCCGGCGGGAAAGCAGCACTGCTTCTAGATTGATCGAGTGGTCTGGAAGCGGATCGACAATCAATTAGCTAATGGTGAATCGAAGGCAGAACTTTAAAGAACACATTAATAACCCACCAGGGAGATATCTACATCCAATCAAAACAAACTAAAGGAACTAAAGGAACCTTAGGAAACTGTTCTTAGTCAGGCTGCCAAGCGTCCTTTCATTTTTTGTTTGTTTGTTTTTTGTTGTTTTTTTTTTTGTCTCTCCCTTGACTATGTAGATTCAACGGTTTTTCTCTGACTTTTTCGGTTTTCCTCCCGCCACATGCCCTAATTCGATCTTATAGTTAGCCATCTGCGTCTGATCCAAGCCAAGGGCATGTCTAACTCGCAGATCAAACCCTGAAACAACCTCTTGGCTGGCATAAGTCAGGGCA